GACCCTCACGGGGCTCAGCACACAGACCCCAACCTCTCCGCAGCCTCGCAGGGGAGACCGCCTCGGCGCAGCCCTGTAGAGTCCACCCGTTCTTTCCTTCTCTCATTAGAACAAACGGATGGGTGGGTGCCAAGCGGGCGGCCCGGTCTTCCTGGCACCTCAGGGGCCAGCTTCTCACGGAGGAGCCCCCCACCCGAGCGCCACGAGCAGGCTGATTCCCACCTGGCCCGGGGTCTGCAGGACTCGGAGAAGCAGGGACACAGCAGGAGCGGGGCCCCACGCCCTGCACAGGGCGGGTCCTCACCTTTCCAGCCCTTTCCTGTCTCCACCACGACGGACGACCTTCTTCCAGCCCACCTGCCCCTGCCCCTGGGGCCTCCCAGGCTGTTCCTGGGCCTGGGCGCTTCCTCCCCATGGGCCACCCCAACAACCGGTTAAGCCTCCTCCTCAGGAGCCCCGCTTCCCCGGGAAAAGGACAGACGCCCAAGCCCCATCTCACCCCTCCTGCCCACCTCACAGCCCCAACCCCAATTTTAAAACCTTCACGGCCACGTGGCACCAACACGTGGTTTGGGCAACGTGGGCATCTGTCTCGAAGGCCCCCAAGCCTTCACTGTCCCCGCCAGAGGGGGCCGCCAAGCCAGTGTGCAGACCCCCCCCTCCCCCGCCAGCACTCCCAGCCCTGTCTCCCATTCCCCTGTGGAGGAAGGCAAGGGGTCTGGGGCAGGGTCCGTCCTACATGCACGCCCCCGGGAGACGATGATCCCCGCGCGAGTCCCTGGGTAAAAAGAGGCCACCTCGCGGCCTGCAGGACCCACAGAGTGGCCTCAGGGCCAGGGTTGGGGACCCTCGCCGCCCCACAGGTTCCCTTCCAGAAAGAGAAAAGTAAGACAGAGCCACCGGCCACAGCACCCACCCCTTCCCAATGGCCCTCCGCCTTTCCTTTCCCTCCTGCGCTCGGCTGGCAGCGCGTCCTGGGCAGGTGGCGCCTTCCTGTGCACCCTCCACGGGGACCCGCTGCTCAGCCACGGAATCTGGAAGTCAGAGCGGCTACTGGATGGTGATCCTGAAAGCCGGCCCCGCCCACCACAGCGTGAACAATGAGGGCAGGTCAGGTTGAAGAGCCCCTCACCTTCACTGCATGGGGGATGGCCCCCAGCCTGGATTTTGTACTTGAGGTGAAAATACCAGCCAAATGTGACTCCCTGTTTTAAAAACAGTAGTCCATTGATTAAGATACACCTTCTAAAAGTTCAGCATGTTTACATTTATCATGAGCACTTTTTTTTAATTTGCATTTTCTTCTCTTTTTTTTTTTTTTTTTTGAGATGGGAGTCTCACTGTGTTGCCAGGCTGGAGTGCTTGGAGTCCAGCGGCACAGTCTTGGCTTACTGCAACCTCCCGCTCCCCGGTTCAAGTGATTCTCCTGTCTCAGCCTCCCAAGTAGCTGGGACTACAGGCGTTTATATTTTTAGCAGAGACAGGGTTTCACCATGTTGGCCAGGATGGTCTCGATCTCTTGACCTCACAATCCGCCCGCCTCGGCTTTCCAAAGTGCTAGGATTACTGGCGTGAGCCACCATGCCCAGCCTTTAGTTTGCATTTTCTAAAGTACTTTCAGCTTTTAAAAATGTTCACACCTACATCACTTCATACAACTGGCCTGAGAGAAGTGTAGCCACCATTAAGAACTTCATTATAAGGCTGGGCATGGTGGCTCACAACTATAATCCCAGGTCTTTGGGAGCCCGAAGTGGCCAGATCTCTTGAGGTCAGGAATTCGAGACCATCCTGGCCAACATGGTGAAACCCCGCCTCTACTAAAAACACAAAACTTAGCCAGGAGGGGTGGCGCATGCTTGTAATCCCAGCTACTGGGGAGGCTGAGACAGGAGAATCACTTGAACCCAGGAGGCGGAGGCTGCAGTGAGGCAAGATCGCACCAGTGCACTCCAGCCTGGACAACAGAAGGAGACTCGGTCTCAAAAAAAAGAAAACAAAACAAAACAAAACAAACAAACAAAAAATCTCCATTATATAAATGAGAAAACTGAGGGTTACATTGTCAAGTAACTTGAGTTAGTGGGTAAAGAAAAGAAACATACTGGTGAGTGACCACTCGTGTCAAGCACTTGTAATCTACTCTAATTTTATCCTCATAAGAACCCTTAGAAGAGGAGGTGGGCACCACGGCCCATTTTACAGATAAGGAAAGTGAGGCTCTGAGTGTTCAGTGTTTGCCCAGGTCACACAGCTAGAGAATGCAGCTGAACCATGGTTTGGCTCATCACATCGCTAAGCCCTTTCATCCCCCTCTGAGCTGTGAAACATCACTGCTCCTTTACTCGGGGAAGTGTTGCCTCTGTGATAAGACCAGTAAGAACCTTTTTCTTGGAATGAATAAAATACAGTGAAAGGAATGAAAGAACAAGATCTTAGGGGCTGTCTTATGATGACTCCTACACTAGAACAGCAGCCATCCTAAGGCCTTGGAACCCAGGCACTGGTGTGACACTCCACCCTCTTTTCTGGCTGGATCTCTGGAGAGTCCACTAACCATTCTAAACTAAAATAGGATAAGATTTTATGAGGGTCAATTTAGATATCTATGGTAGTCATCTATGCTGTTTTCCAAATAGTCTGGGTCTCCTTTGCCAACATGTGGTAAGAGGCCGTGCCCTGGGCCTCTTGGAGTAGGTATGGTCATGTGACTCACCTTTGCCAATTAGTGGAAATGACTTATGCTACTTTCTGGAGAAAATCATAAGAGCCAGTTCATAATAGTTTCATAGTCTCTTTTGCCTTGCCTTCACAAAAGTTGAGACAAAGAGATAGAGCCTGGGTTTTCCCTTAGTCAGGAAGATCAGCCCCCAGCTGATCTACAATGAGCATTGATATAAGGGAGAAATACGTTGCTTCTAGTTGCAGACACTTGAAGATGCTTGTTACAGCAGCAAATTCTAGCCTATCCTGACTGATACAGTAACATATTTGAGAACAGTGTACTTTCTATATACATATGCTACTACATGTATTTGCCTCACTCTTCTCATCTATAAAATAGGGTAATATGTCATGAGGATTAACTGAATAAATACATATAAATGATTACATATGTGCCCGACACATAGTATACTTTGTATGTGTTAACTATGATCATTAATGCTGTTCTTCTTCTCTGTAACTATTATTATGAATGTTGTCCTTGCTGTTGTTTCTTTTTTAAAATGTTTCCTGCAGAAGCCCCAATGCCTAGGCCAGTGGTAAGGGAAGGTGTTGGGACTTCCCCAGTAGAAGTAACTGTGTGGAGGGCAAAGGTGAGGCCAGGTCTTCTGAGGAGCAGTCAGCTCTGGAGGTGACTTGGTTGCAGCAGTCTCTCTTTCATGGCAATTGCCCTATCTGCCTTCTTTAAAACAAATGATATTATAAAAGTCATGCATATTGTCCATGAAAAATCAGAAAACATATAAAAGTATAAAGAAAATAACAAAAATGATCTGTAATCCCACTCCTAAGATAACCTCTTTTAATATTTTTGTGTGTATTCTTCTCATTTATTTGTCTTGCACCATTTTATTTTTCCAAGTAGAACTTGTACTGCACATAGCTGTCAGGCAACCTACGTTTGCCTTTCTTATTATTTTTTTCTTTTAACTAAAAATATGTCAAGAACATTTTCCTACTTTATTAAATGTTTTCCTACAAAATGATTTTAATGCAGCTTAGTAAGGCACATATGAATGTGCAGCAATTAAATTACAATTCCTAGTTCAAAATCCAACCACAAAAGTACTGAGCATTTACTACATGCCACACACTGAGCTAGTGCTGCTGATAAGTTGATGACAAAATCAGGGCTAGCCCAGCACTCGGGAGCTAACCCTTCACTGTCTCCAGGGGATACTCAGATTGTCGTCCTCAGGGAAGGGGTGCAGGGCTATTATCAACAGTGATGTAGTGATGCAAAGAACATCCTTAAATCTACCTCTTTGTGCCGAATCTGCCTGACTTGTGATTCTGATAGGTGCTAGACAAAATATAATAAATGCCTTCTTAAATGCAAAACTGAGTTCAAAAAGAAATTAGGGTATCAGGGGCCAAAAACAGAAAGAAACATGGAAACCAGTAGACTAAATAGGTGTGACCATTTCAGATACCTGGTGGAGGTGGAAAGAAGATGGGAGTCCATTTATGTACCCTGGGGCTTGGGTTTATAGCCGTACAAATATAGGAGAAGAAGTCTCATAGGCCAGATCAGGATGGGGAGCTGTGTCTGAGATCCCTGCAGAAGGTGACACCCACAAGAAGCTCCATATTTGGTAAAAGAGCAGATTGCACCCTAACAAAGAGAGAGAAGAAAGAAGCTTGTCCGTTTTAGCTCGAGCACTGAAAAAAAAGAAAAATGATTCCTGAGAAACTGTAAACTCTGCAAACAATGTCCACATCATTTAGAGTTCAGGGTTTGGGGTCCAATGTGTTGTACCTCATGGCCCAGGTACTGCAAAACAAATAAATTAACATGAGAAATACTCCTGGGTTGGTAACACCCCCTGGATGCCTGGCAGAAGTAATAGTCATCCTCTTAATCCAGGCCACAAGGAAGTCCTACAGATAAAGCCCCAGTGCAGATGAGCTCACTGGTCAAAATTAGAAAGCTGTTGAGGAAGTGAGCCATAAGGAGAGGAGTCAAAAGAAACAACAAATAGAGAATTAAGCCTTCAAATACTTCACATAATGAGATTATCTGATAAGTACTATGAAGTGTCTAAAACTATGAACTACATAAGTAAAGAAATGCAAATTATAGAAGAACAGAGTGCTGTGAAAAAAGAGAGGAGCAGGAGCTCAGCAAACATCCATGGGTATGTGTGATGATATCAGGCATTGCTCACATCCCAAGAGGATGCCCCTATCAGTATCGTGTTTGACTGCAAGTAACAGAAAACCTACTGACCAACAGTGTCTAAAACAAGCAGAGATCATTTTTCTCCAAAACCTACCAGTTTAGAGGTGGGCTTCTGTTGGCATTGGCTCAACCATTCATCCGTGGCATCTAGGGACCAGGTTGTCATCACTGCACTTGGCCTCCTTTAGCAAATCATTTTTAAGTATTGTCCTTGCTACCTCAAGATTTCAGGATGATTGCTGCCTCCTCAGATATCATGTAACTGCAAAAGTAGGAAGGGAAGAGGTGAAGGATGAAGAACCAGCTACATATGCCCCTGCTTATAACAAACTACCACCACTACCATTATCACCACCACCAGCATCATCCCCACCACCACCACTACTAACACCACCATCACCAGCACTATCATCATTATTTCCACCACCACCACCACTACCACCACTGCTACTACCACTATCACCACCACCAGCACCAACACCATCATTTCCACCAGCACCACCATCACCATCACCACCACCACCATCATCACCACCACCACCACCATTACCATCACCACCACCAACACCACCATCACCACCACCACCACTACGACCATCACCATCATCACCACCACCATCACCATCACCACCACCACCACACCATCACCACCACCACTACCACCATCACCACCATCACCATCACCACCACCATCACTACCACCATCACCATCATCACCACCACCATCACCACTGCTACCAACACCACCACTATCACCATCATCACCACTTCCACCACCATCTCCACCATCACCATCACCACCACCACCATCACCACCACCACCACCACCATCACCACCACTACCACCATCACCGGCAACACCATGATCAGCACCATCACCACTGCTACCAATACCACCACTATCACCATCATCACCACTTCCACCACCATCACCACCATCACCATCACCACCACTATCATCACCACTTCCACCACCACCACCATCACCATCACCACTATCATCACCATCACCACCACCACTATCACCACCACCATCATCACCATCACCATCACCATCACCATCATCGCCGCCACCACCATCACCATCACCACCATGACCACTATCATCACCATCATCACCATCACCACCACTTCCACCACTGCCACTATCACCATCACCACCACTACCACCATCATCATCACCACCACCATCACCACCACCACCACTGCTACCAACACCACCATCACCAGCACTATCATTATTTCCACCACCATCACCACCACTACCACCACTGCTCCACCACCAGCACCAGCACCATCATCATCATATCCACCACCCCATCACCACTACTACCATCATAACCATCATCACCACCACCACCACCATCACCATCATCACATCCACCACCAGCACCATCACCACTACCACCACAACCATCAGCAACACCATCATTATCCCTATCACCATCACCATAATCATCATCTCCACTACCATGACCACACCACTACCATCATGATGATCACCACCACCAACACCACCATTACTACCACGACAACCATCATCACCACCACATCACCACCATCACCATCAAGACCACCACCACCACCATCACCATCACCACCACCATCACTATCACCACCACCACTATCACCACCACCATCAGGATCATTATTATCACCACCACCACTATCACCACCACCACCATCACCATCATTACCACCACCATCAATCACCACCATCACCATCAAGACCACCACCACCACCATCACCATCACCACCACCATCACTATCACCACCACCACTATCACCACCACCATCAGGACCACCACCACCATCATCACTACCACCTCCACCACCATCAACACCACCATCATCATCACCACCACCACCACCATCACCACCACCATTGCCATCATTACCACCACCATCACCATCATCACCAGCACCACCACCATCACCATCATCACCATCACCATCATTACCACCACCATCACCACTATCACCACCACCACCACCGCCACCACCACCATCACCATCACCACCACCATCACTACCACCATCACCATCATCACCACCTGGTGGAGGTGGAAAGAAGATGGGAGTCCATTTATGTACCCTGGGGCTTGGGTTTATAGCCATACAAATATAGGAGAAGAAGTCTCATAGGC